AGTTAAATTTGTAACAAATTGTTCATGGTTATTTTTACATATTTGGAAATCTATCTGCACAAACAATTAAGGCACTCTACACTTGATGTACATCTGTAGCTGACCATTTTGCCTCAAAACCACTGACACCCTGTAATCCCAGCACTTTAGGAGGCCGACGTAGGTGGATCATGAGGTCAGGAGTTCAAGACCAGCCTCGCCAAGATGGTAAAACCTCATCTCTACTAAAAATACAAAAATTAGCCGGGTGTGGTGGCGGATGCCTGTAATCCCAGTTACTCGGGAGGCAGAGGCAGAGAATTACTTGAACCTGGGAAGTGGAGGTTGCAGTGAGCTGAGATCGCACCACTGCACCGCAGCCTGGGTGACAAAGCGAGACTCCGTTTCATTAAAAAAAAAAAAAAAAAAAAAACCACTACTGATACCAAATAACTGGGGAGGATCTCTAAGGTTAATGAGTGCCATTTTAGGCACTTGCCAAAATCAGGGGTGACATTCCCTAACACAAAGACTAATTTTTTTGGTTACAGTAAGCATATAAACAGAGCATTCATAGAAATTCACCATATATTAGGCCAAAGCAAATAATAAGACAGAAATAGAACAAAAAATATTACCTGATCACAATGCAATAAAACTAGAAATTAATATCAAAGACTTAATCGTCACAATAAGGGAATGGCAAAGATCACATATACACTAATTTGATAAAGGTTTTGAATTAATAGGCACTTGTACACAGACGGTGGAGAGAAAACTGGCACAACTTAGATTGGGGAAAATTTGGCAACATCTCTCAAAATTACAAATACTTAGACCAGTGGTTCTCAAACTTGTTTGTACATTTAACAGCTGGGGAGCGTCTAATTACTGATGCCAGTGTCTAGCCCTAGAGATTGTGATTTAATTGGCCTAGGGTATGGCCTGGACTTCAAAATTTTTAGAAGCTCCCCAAGTGATACTAATGTACAGCCAAGTTTGGAAATCGCTTGCTTAAATCTCTTTTGATAAGCAATTCCATGTCTCATTTATGGTACACATATATTCACACACATGATCAATGTCCTATTTCATTAACTGTAGCTTTGTTTTATAATACTAAAAGATTAGGAAAGAACAAATATTCACCTAAAGGAGACTTGTTAAATCAATATGTAATATTGATAAAATGAAACACTATGTATCTGTTTAAAAGAGTGGCACAGATAGTATATGAATTACATTTCAATAAAACTGTTAATTTTTAAAAGAGGTCCAGAAATGATATAGACAGCATGCTACTGTCTATGTGAAAAACAGTACACACACACACACACACACACACACACACAAACTGGCGGCAGTGGTTCTCTCTGGAGGAAGGATTGCTTTTCTTTGTATACCCTTTCAAATACTGAAGTTCCGAACATGTTATGTATTAACTCTGAAAAATAAATTTTTTTAATTAAAATGAAATATAAAATCAATGTGGTCATGTTCCCCAAGCAAACAGAATTTTTATGAGGTAACATTCAAAGGCGCACAAGCGAACGTTTTGGAATGATAGAAACCCTCTTTATCTTAATTGTGATGGTGGTTTACATAATTGTGTACCTTCTTCAAAACTCATAGAACTATATACCTCAAATGAGTGATTTTAATCCATGTAAATTATATCTCAATAAACCTGTTTGTTTGTTTATTTATTTACTTAAAGCTTACATGACAGCCGGGGCCTCTTGAACAATGCTGATAGAAATGTAAATTGGTACAACCCACCTGGGAAACTCCTTTATGGTACAGTGTATCCGTTGGATCTGGATTACCACAAGCCCCCAGACCCAGCATTTTTACCCCTGCATAGGAATATTCATAGCTGCACTCTTCATGACAGCAAAAATATGGAACAATCCAGACTTTGTTAAAAGTAAAATGGATTGGGTGACTGTGGTGTATTTGTGCAATGGAAAGCCAAGAGAAGATGATTTGATTTGAAAAGTAGCATTGCCCAGACCAAGGAACCGTTGGCAAAGGGCATAAGAAGAAAAAGATACATACGCATTCCTTGACCATATGAAGGGGCAGTCATTCTCACTCATAAGAGAAATACATGTTAAAATTACTCTGAAATAACTCATTTCACCTGTCACAATGGCAACATTGCAAAGTTTAATGAGTTTTGATGGCAAGACTTGTAAAGAAGTAAGCATCCTCAGATATGTCCTTTGGAGGTGTAAAATGGTAAACCCAAGGGAAAAAAATTTGGCCATATAAAAAAAAGTTCAATGTATTTCTCCTTCGATACTCAATACATTTATAGGAAGTATCCAATAAGATATACATTCATGCATACAAAATTACACATTTATGAGAGTATTCATTATTTGCAATTACACAAGATTAGAAACAAGTCTATCCATTAGACACTAGAAAAGTTATATCCATGCAATGGAAGATCTTACCACTGTAAAACACAATGTAGAAGCTCTCTATGTATTGATACAGAAGCAAATCTAGAGGATAGACAGTTAAGTGAAAAAAATCAAAGGGCAGAAAAACATACATAACATGCTAGTTGTGTATAAAAGAAAGAAAAGAGGCCAAGTGTGGCAGCGAACGTCTGTAATTCCAGCAGTCTGGGAGGCCGAGGCAGGCGGATCACCTGAGGTTGGGAGTTTGAGACCAGCCTGACCAACGTGGAGAAACCCTGTCTCTACTAAAAAATACAAAACAAATTAGCCGGGTGTGGCGACTCATGCCTGTAATCCCAGCTACTCGGGAGGCTGAGGCAGGAGGATAGCTTGAACCCAGGAGGCATATACACAGGTATATACACATATGTGTGTGTATACTCATATATATATACTCATATACATACATAGAGATAGGCAGGCAGGCAGGCAGAGAGAGAGAGAGAGAGAGAGAGAGAGAGACAGACAGACAGACAGACAGACAGAATTTAAGTAGCCAGAAAAAATTCAGGAGGACATACACCAAAATAGTAACAATTACTACCCCTTAAGGGAGAAACCTGTGAGGCAGAGGGTGTGGGGGATGGAGAAGCCAAGAAGATCTCTTGATTTTATTGCTAGAATTTAAGGCAAAAACAGTATATTCAAATATTACTTGTTCGATCAAAACAAAAAAAATACAAAAACTATTCCACTAAAGTCTGCTTGTAAACTTTTTTTAAAAACTAGAGTAAATGGACTTCTAAACCTAGTCTCTAATCACTTTTAAGATAAAAAGATTCTATAGAGGCCAAAGAACTGCTTCTACTTCTCTATGGTTTTTCTCCTCAATATGAGGAAATTAAGCTGAATAGAGTTGGCAAGAAGGAAAAGGAGTCTAGAAAACTTGACACGTGAATGAGCCAAAGTTACAGTTAAAAAAGTAATTGCAATCTGTTCAATCTAATGAAAGGATAAAATTAGGATACAGTATTAGCACATGATGTCAAAAGTCCAGGCAAGAAATAACTATCTGAATTTTTATGCAACTTCTAATACAGATTCAGTCTTTAGAATTAAATTTCTTCTTCAGGAATGGAGAATGATCCCTTCTGAGTGATGAATTTGGAAGGCTCATTGCTCAGGCTCTCTAAAAGGCTATAGAAACAGTGAAGCAAACACTTTGCTTCCAATTGGCAAAGATAAAAAGGGTATTAGTTTAGTGCTCCCCAGATTATTTTGCAACATGGCTCAGAGAACAGAGGGTAGTATTTACATGGCATCCTTTGGAAATGGATAAGGGAAGGTAATAGGCTCGAGAACTACTACAGCCCCAGCATAACCCAAATCCAAAAGACCAAGAGCAACTTGTCTCCTGTGACTCAGTCACAGCAAATCTACGTGTCCTGACACACCCACTGGGATGAGTGTTTTGGATATGAGCACTTTCTAATAACAGCCTTTCTTGTTTGCTAGTAACAACAGTCATAGTGGCTCATAATAATGCAGTACTTTCTGTGACTGGACACCAGACCAGAGGAAATCAAGATGGTAGGGGCTATGTGATTTAGTTCTTTGTTAAAGACCAACTGGTAGCTCTGGAGATGCACTGTACCTACAGATGGTATTCAAATCCCAAAAGGTCCTCAGACACCACCTGTACAAGAAAAGTAGTTTTCTTGTTTGAAAGCAAAAAGAACCTCTTCCTTTCTCCTTTCTTTCCCTTCTGTGGACCTCTCAGACAAACTATTCTTCACAAAACTAAAAACATCCCAGCAACTAGTTCTAAAGAAATTTGGCATCATCATATTCAATACCTTCAATAAAGATAAAAGCTCTCTACCACTTAAGAAAAAAAAAATATATATATATACACACACACACACACACACACATATATATATATCAGCCAGGTGGGGTGGCTCATGCCTGTAATTCCAGCACTTTGGGAGGCCAAGGTGGGTGGATCACCTGAGGTCAGGAGTTCAAGACCAGCCTGGCCAACACGGTGAAACCCCATCTCTACTAAAAACACAAAAATTAGCTGGGCATGGTGGCGGGTGCCTGTAATCCCAGCTACTCAGGAGGCTGAGGCAGAAGAATCGCTTGAACCCAGGAGGCGGGGGTTGCAGTGAGCTGAGATGGCGCCACTGCACTCCAGCCTGGGTGACATAGAGTACGACTCCGTCTCAAAAAAAAAAAAAGCATGTCAACTAAATAAAATGGTAGCAAATAATAGTCGATAAATACTATTGAGATTTAATAAACTGCTCAGTACAAAATGAGGCACCAATTTTAAAGTACATATATTGTTTTATCTCTTAAGAGAAGTTACCATTTTAAAGCAGCATGCATTCCACAGTATGCCGACTCTAATAAGAACTAAAACTTCTACGAGAGTCAAAACAGCATAAATGACAGATATTACAATCCATGAAACATTAAAAAAATGACGATTTTGACAACTCAAACATTAGTCTTTTGGAATCTCATCTTTAATAACATTTTCAGAACACATAAAATTCATTTTATAGGTGAGACACAAGAAAAAGAAATTTGAACTTCTAGTACCTTGTGAAAGTTGGGTTGTGTTCAGTCAACGCAACTAGCAGTTTCAGAGCATAGGCTGGTACCGGGTCAGGTTCTACAAGAATGTGCTCATACCTGAAATGATAAAGATATTTTAAAAGTATTCAGTAGGAAAAATTCTGTCCAACCTCGAATTCTATATCCAGCAAAACTATCAATTTAGCTTGAGACAGAAAGATATTTTACATACTAATAAAGATTTAAGTAATTTACCTCTCATGTGCCCCTTCTCAGAAAGTTACTGGCAAATATGCTCTATTGAAATAAGAGAATAAACCAAATATAGAAAGACAAAAGAAAAAACAACTCAGTAGTTGTTCTCACTTAAATGCTACTCTGGACAATAGAAATAATATACCATAAGGTACAAACATCTGAAACATATACAGACACTGAAATAAAAGTATGAGTTATAGGACCTACACAGGTTACTTAACCTCATGAAGTCTGAAACAACTTCACTCTCCAATGCTGATAATGATACTCACTTACTTCAAAAAATATTGCTGTTGGGAAGATTCAGTGAGATAATCCATGTAAAACAATTAGTATTGAGCTGGGCATATAGTAAGAGATCAATAAACACTAGGCGTTTGTGTTAAAGGTCTTCAAGAACATCCTCACATTCAGAGACTCGTTAGAGAATTCACAGGACTCAGCATGGCTAAGATGTAGCACAGCAGCATTGTAAGGCCATCTCTGAATCACATGGGAAAGGATGCACGCAGAGGACTACAGGATGTCATGTGCCAGTTTCCTTATGTCCTCTGTCTTCCATGAGGGGTCACACACAGCACACTCTTCCCCCAGCAACGAAAATGCAGCACATGTGTGTGATGTTTCTGCCCAAGGAAGTCTACTGAGTACTCAATGGCCAAAGTTTTTATGAGGGGCTGGTCATGTAGGCAACCTCTATCTAAAATGTATGAAAATTCCAGATTCCCAGAAGGAAAGCAGCTGTGTTCAGCATAAACCAGACTGTCTGCTCAAACAGTTGAGGCACAGTGAGCTACCCTTATCAGCTAAGTGTTAATTGGGTGTACTCTGACAGTCAAGTTCCTAGATGTCTAGCCAATGACAATATTTTGTTTACAAAATTTTTTTTTAAAAAATCCTAAATTAAATGTATTACCAAAGAGAATAAAACTCAAAATGTTTTCATCAAAATTTCCACAACAAGTTCTCCCAAGATTGTTTTCCCATGTGATTTGCTAGGCAGAGGCTGATTTATGTACTTCATCTTACCTGTTCGAGGTTTACCCTCCAGTATGCAGCACTGTGTAGATGCTCAATAAACGAGCATCAAATGAATAAACAAACAAACTAACCGATTTTATTATTTAATTCTTTGGAATAGCCAACAACTAAAAAGGGAGAAAAATATCTCTAAAATTCCTAACTGGATATTTTAAAAATCTATGATATAAAACAGATGCCTTTCATCTAGAGAATAGGGCCCCATGCTTACTCAGAGCTTATTTACTGTCATTTTGGAAATCACTGTATAACAAGCCTAATTATATAGCCTGTAAGCCCACAACCATTAAAAAGGAGCTAAGTAAAGAGAAGAGAGGGACTATTACAGGAAGGCAACCAATGAATTATAAGAAGTAGGACTTGAAAGCATAAGAAAAACAAAAGAAATCAATCCCAAGAACCCCAAGCAAAGAATAGCCTGTGGAGCATTTAATACAGAGTAAGAAGTTGCTCAAATTCAAATGGGACCTGAAGCCCACTACACACCACAATGTCCAAAACTGGAGTAATGAGTCAAGGCAATGTTAAGTGGAATGCAGTGTTCTGTTTAAGAAGTCAGGAAATATCATATTTTAGAAAATTTGCTTAAATTTTAAAATTATAGTAGTTAAAGGATTTGCCCATGTATAAAATATATAGTATAATCAAGTGTGAGTAATTTCAAGAATGAAAAAAATCAACATTAGGAAATCAGTTAATATATTTTATCATATAAATAAAACAAATACCAAGCAAGCATCTTTAGGGATAATAAAAATGTCTGATAAAATTTAACATCTACTTCAAATTTTGTTTAAAAAAAGACACAACTTAGCATACTAGAGAGAGATCATTAGTTCCTTTACAAATTCTTATGAAATAAAAGGTTCTTGCCATCTTGAGTAAAGAGTATGTAAGAATATTCTCAAAGTATAATAATTTGCTAGAAGGACTCACAAAACTCTTAAAACTTGTTACACTCCCAACTATGGTTTATTACAGTGAAAGGATGCAGATTAAAATCAGCAAAGAGAAGAGGCGCATAGGGCACAGACAAGGAGAGACCAGGACAAGCTTCCAGCTGTCATCTCCCAGTAGAGTTGTACAGTGTTTACTCCTCCCAGTAGCAATGTGTGCAACATTGGTGAAGTACTATCAACCAGAGAAGCTCACCTGAGCCTTGGTGTCCAGGGCTTTTACTGGAGGTTGGTCATGTAGGCATGGATCACTTGTGGAATTGACCTTAGTGTCCCAGTCTCTAGCTCCTCCAGAGGTCAAGCTGATGTGTTGTAGCCCAAGGCCCCCATCATAACTCACAATGTTACTGCCATAAATTATCAGGCAAGGCTCAAGGTCTCATGAATTCAAAGGCACTCTTACCAGGGAGGATATTCCAAGGCCAGGAAGTTATCTCCCAGGCGGCAGTCAAGGATCAGTTTCTCTAGAATGTGCAAAGTTTGAACACCCTACACATGATGAGTTAACCCTTTATGGCATACATCCCTAAGAAGGAAACTGAGAGGCACTGTCATTAAAGTCAGAAATAAAATAACAATCCTCTTCCACTGCTTACCAGTATTTGGAAATTGTCTGGCCAGGCAGATTGAAGTGACAGTGAGAAACTTCTGATGAGTCCTTCATGTACCCTGGATAACCAGCTCTCCTTGTTCCCACTCCAAGACATACTTGAATCACAGAAGGAAGGAGCCACAAGCCTGTGAATTTTTATAAAGCTTCCCAAGTAATTGTCTTATTCACGTGCTTGTGTGGAAATCACAAGAGGAAATATGGACAACAACTACTTAGAAATACAACAGAAAAAAACATTCTCAACAGGGCTGGAAAATATATCTTAAAATAGACTTGAAACATATAGAATCCAAATGTAAAAAGAAAACATTGGCTAGGGATGGTGGCTCACACCTGTAATCCCAGCACTTTGGGAGGCCAAGGTGGGAGAATTACAGGAGACCAGGAGTTAGAGACCAGCCTGGGCAACATAGTAAGACCCTGTCTATAAAAAAAGAAAAAGATTCTTTTTAATTAATCGGGTGCAATGGCACACACCTATAGTACTAGCTACTCAGGAGGCTGAGGCGAGAGGATTGCTTGAGCCCAGGCATTTAAGGCTGCAGTGAGCTATGATGGTACTAGTACACTCCAGCCTAGGTGACAGAGCAAGACCCTGTCTCTTAAAAAAAAAAAAAAAGAGAGAGAGAGAGAGAGACAAAGAAAACACACTGCTGAAACATTACTGGCTGAAATCAAAGTGTCTTGAGGTTGTTTGAGGTTATCTAACCTTGAAACAGGAGGGAAAAATAAAGCTTGCACTAGCTTGCGTGTAAGAATTTTCCCAAAGAATATTGCTCTGTTTCCCTCCGGTTGGAAAAAATGATGGGCAAAATTCATATTGGGCACGTTTAGAATACAAATACTGAATATATTTTAGTTTAATCAAATGATAGGCTTGTAATGGTCAGCAAGATCAAGCCAAAAGTAGGCTGTGATTTATTAAGCTCATCTTTGAAAAAGCAGCTAGTAATTGAGTTTTGCACTCCTTTGAATGCAACTTAGCAGAAAAAAATATATAGTGATGAGCCCTGACTCTTGAAATGGCCTCAGAGAAGACTGACTAGTGAAGAGCTGGCCCATTTTGATGGACTAGGGGCTGGAGAGGAATACTCCAAGTGCCCTGAGGCTGGCCAGAGATTAAGATCACTGTTGACAGTGCCCTGTCCAGACGGTGCCCTGGAACCTCACACTTCTTTCTCTAGGATCTTCTCTAACCAAGATGTCTTTGCTAGAGACCAAAACAGGAAAGATGCAGGCAAGAAAGACCATTCATACTAAATTCAGATCCATTCCAAAGAAGAGAAAATCCCTTTTAAAAATCACATATTCGGGACCTAAGGCAAGAAGCTAAAGATGAGATAGTCCCCAACTCTTAATTCTTTATTACCAATCCTATAATTAATAAATCCCTATCTTGTCAAGTGCCTGGTATAGACAGTGCCCAATTAGGTCAGCTGGGAGAAAACTGAAACTGGTATATAAACAACTCTGGATTATCATGAGAAAATATTCTGAGGGATGTGACCAAACAATTGGTCAAGCGGAGAAGTGTCTCCAATTTTGTTGAGGGGAGGGAGAAGGAACTGTATAATAAAGAAGTCCATTCTGCAGGGATTAAGTCAGAGACTCAAATTTTCATCTCAATAAAGTGTGCTCTGAGAATGTGAAGGAGTGATTCCAGAATATTCAAGAAACTTCAGGGTTTGAGGAATGTTCCTACAATGAGGAAGATTCTGCTACATGAAAGGCTAGAATACATTATACAACCACAATAATTATTACATATAGGGTGGAATAAAGAATATACACATACAGTTATGTGCCACATAATGACATTTTTGGTCAACGACAGATGGCATATACAACAGTGGTCATATAAAAAATTTTTTCTGTATCTTTTCTGTTTGGATACATAAATTCTTACCATTGTATTACAGTTAGCAGCAGTATTCAGTGCAGTAATAGGCTGCATAGGTTTGCAGCCTGGGAGCAAAAGGCTATACCATAGAGCCTAGGGGTGTAGTAGGCTGTGCCACCTAGGTTTGTATAAGGTAAACTCCATGATGTCTTCACAATGATAACACTGCCTAATGATGCACCATTTCTCAGAAGGTACTCCCACATGGCGCATGACTATAAATCAAAAGAAAAGAAAGGTAACACCTAGCACTGGATAGGAAAGAGTAAATTTAGAAAGGGAGTTAGACTGGTTAGACCATATCTCAAGAAAATATATCTCTAATAAATTAAAATTTTGAGGAAAAAAT